TTGGAGGACAGAAAAGAGACACAGGTAAACACAGAAGAACTGGTCCAGGTGCACCTTCTTCTGGAAAAGAGACAAAATAAAAAAAAACATGTCTGATAGAAATAATTACAATAAACATGTAGAGAAGAGAGACTAAAGACAACAGCAGAGTCAGGAAATGTGCTCAGTTTGTGCTCCAATAGTCTAAGTCTATAGCAGCAGAAATGAGGAATAATTTAAGAAACCTAAGTCTAACTACATGATTTATCAAAAAGGAAAAAAAAACATAACATACTGAACATGTAGTTGATAAGCGTGTATTTATTTTTTTCCAAACAGACCAAGCTTTTGTAACGCTGGCCACAAACGACAGCTACGCTAAAGGAGCTCTGGTTCTCGGCCAGTCGTTACGAAATTACAACACAAGCAAGAAACTGGTGGTATTGGTAGGACCTCATGTTGCAGAGCCTTGCAGGTAACAGAGACAGAACCTTTAACCGTTTTTTTATTTCTAAATAAATGACTATAAATCCAGCTCTGATGTAASTCTGACCTCCTGTTTTGCAGAGAAGCACTCCGCTCCATCTTTGATGAGGTGTTTGTGGTGAATCTCATGGATTCGGGCGATGGTGCCAATCTGGCCCTGATGAAGCGACCAGACCTGGGAGTAACATTCACCAAACTGCACTGCTGGACTTTGACACAATACAGCAAATGTGTGTTCATGGATGCAGACACAATGGTGAGAAACAAACCAGCCAATGGAAGAAAACCAAACATTGGCAACAAATCCTATTTAAAGTGTTTGAATTTAGTTTATTTTGCTGCAGTCATATGTTTGACWACCTACAACATGATCTTAGCGGAGTTAATAAAACTTAAAATGTCTGTGTGGGGTATTCTAAACACATCTGCAGAAGTAAGTAGCCTCCTTGGTGTCTGCAGGTGCTGGCCAACGTAGACGAACTCTTTGAGAGGGAGGAGTTATCTGCAGCTCCAGATCCTGGTTGGCCAGACTGTTTCAACTCCGGAGTTTTCGTCTTCAGGCCGTCCAATGAGACGTATGAACAGCTGATCACTTTCTGTGCTGAAAACGGCAGCTTTGATGGTGAGAGTCTACACATTATAAAAGATCATATATAATCACTTTATTTACACCTCATTTCCTGCAGGATTTTAGCTACAAACAGCTTAAAGTCAGTGAATGTTGCACTTATCTGGTTGGTACTGGGTTTATACCTGGTACTTACTAGGCTCGTAGCTGTATGAATATATATTTTACTTGAACATAGACATTTGTTTGGTTACTGCAAACTAATCTATTTCCGTACATTTCTTGTTTTGCTATCTTGTCACTAGCATCATGTGTTGTCAGCTTCTATTTTTATGTGACAGACTGTATGGTGATGTACAAAGTCTATATGGGGTGTTGATGCTGTGCAGCATGTAGTGTTTGTTTGACTACAATCACAACACAAAGCTTATTATTATTATTGTTGTTGTTGTTGTTGTTGTTGTTGTTGTTGTTGTTGTTGTTGTTGTTGTTGTTATTATTATTATTATTGACTGTCTTCAGGTGGAGATCAGGGAATTCTCAACAGTTTCTTTGACACCTGGGCAACGGCAGACATTTCCAAACATCTTCCCTTCATCTACAACCTCAGCAGCATCGCAATCTACTCCTACCTTCCAGCTTTCAAACAGTCAGTACGAACGAACACACACACACACACACACACACACACACACACACACAC